GCTGGGCTCCGGCGATCCTTCCGCCTCAGTCTTCCAAGTGGCCGGAATTACAGGCATGAGCTACCACGCCCGGCTGATTTTTTGATTTATTGTAGAGATGCGGTCTCGCTGCCCAGGAGGGTCTCGAACCCACGGGCTCAGGCAATCCACTCACCTCAGCCTCCCAAAGCCGCGGGATGACAGGCTAAGCCACCGAGCCCGGCTCAATCTCTTTTCTTAAGTGCTTTCCCTTAACACACCACACATCTTTTTCCTAGAACACTTACTATTTTGTATTTTTCTCTAATTTTAAATATACCTCAGTCCAACTTTTCACATACTAAAATTACATTGTAATTGTATACCTTTTTCCTGTATCCTCACCGTGTTCAAAGAGGGACATATAATTTATTTGAAGCTCGCCTCAGTTGAATGCACTATAAAATTAGTGCACGTTTAAAGATGTTTTTCAAAGATACATTGATACCAAATTAAGGCCAGTAATAAGAAATGACAACTTTTATAAGAAAAATAAAAGACTAGAACAGAGTCCAGAATATTTTACTTACACTTCTGATTTCCACTTCAACAAAGTTTCTTTTTATTACCTGAGTGTGAGAAGACTGTTTCAAATTTTTCAGGCTAATTAAAACTTTCAAAAGTGGGGCGGCGGGCCCCGGGGCCGCGGCGAGGGGTGGGCGACACCGGCCGCTGGCAGCCTTCGTCTGCCCGGAGCCCGGCCAGGGCGCGCAGCCGCCCACGACCGCCGCGGAGCGTCTTCGCCCTCTCCCGCCCACAGATGAGATGATGTGCGAGGTGATGCCGACCATCAGTGAAGCCGGAGGCAGTGGGAGCCATGGAGCCAGCTCCCCTTCCCAGCCGGACGCAGATTCACATCTTGAACAGTTGATGGTCTCCATGCTGGAAGAGAGGGGCCTCTCCTCCACACGCTGCGAGGGACTCAAGAAACCCTGACGCTCACCCAGGGGAAGTTGCACGAGCCTGGTCACGAAGGAGATTCCTTGCAGAGACAGCTCAACACCGCACTTCCACAGCTGGACGAGCAGCCGCGTTGGCTGCCGTTTAAGAAGGCAGAACTCCTGAAGCGCATCGACGAGGGCCTCGACCGTCGGGCCTCAACGGTCGAGCCTCAACCGTCGCTGCCGGAAGCTAGAAACGGGCGAGCGCAGGTGCCGGAACGCGGATCCAAGGGGGACCGGGCACGAGGATCGGCCTTCCGGCGACGGGGCTACGCAGAGCGGCCGCTCGTAACGGCCCGCACCTCCGCTCTAGGCCATGGAGAACGAGGCGACGCACCCAGGGTCGCCGGGAGGGCGAGGGCGCGGGCGCAGTGTGGCGCGCTGGAGACCCGGCGAGGGCCGGTGGTTCCTGGGAAACGCGGCATCGGGGCGGCCACCGCCCCCCTCTTCCTCCCACCCGCCACTCCGGAGCACCGGACTGTCTCCCTCTGTAGCCTGATTCGGGTGCTAATCCCGCTAGCCAAGGTGCGCAAGCAGATGGAGCAGGTGCGCAATAAGCTGGCGGCGATGGAGCGGCGCAGGCCGACCCTCGAGCAAGAACTCCGGCAGTTGCAGAAGTTTGAGGAGCTGTGGAGTCAGGTGGCGCACTTCGAGGTGACGGAGGCGGCGGCTGACCCGGACGCCTGGAGGAAGAGCCCGGAACCGTGTGACCCCGCGAGCGCGCCCATGAAGGATCAGGCCAGGGAGGATCAGGCCCGGGAGGATCGCGAGAATCAACTGTCCGGTGGCCTTGCGATTGAGAAGATCAGGCGGTGGGTGCGGAGCACTGCGGCTGAGATGAAGTTGGAGAACTTGGGATTCTGAACTTGCTTGTTTCGCTCTTGTCCCTTCAGCGGTGAGATCTGTGCCGCCTTTGGCCCCTATCCCTACCCAGGGGTTCCTGTTCCGAAGCAAGCTCAAACTTCCGCGGTTTATATGTTAAAAGTGGGGATTCGTTGAAATAAACCTCCAGTTTTTATTTGAACTGAAAAAAGTTTCAAAAGTAGATAACTTAAATATCTCTCCACGTGGTCAGGTTAGAATCACCCTACTCCAGCACTTCAAGGAAAGGAGTAATAAGACCTGTGCTTCTTTCTATCTGGTTTGCTATGAGCTGCACTTGGAATTCTGAACTGAAATTTCCCATATTAAGATACTGCTATCACCATGTAGATCTCAAAGACTAGTGGATATTTAGCAGACAGTGTTTTCTGTTTTCATTTATCTATTACAGCACTTCATAACAAATGACCCTAAAACTTAATAGCTTCAAACAGTCCTTTCTCTGCTTTGACACTGTGGGTCAGGAATCTAGGTAAAGCTCCCCAGAGGGTTCATTTCTTTTCTCTCCCTCCCTCCCTTTTTTTCGAGTTAGGGTCTCACTCTGTCCAGTCTCACTGCAGCCTCTACCACCTGGGATCAGGTGCTCCTTCTACCTCAGCCTCCGGAGTGGCTGAAACTACAGGCATGCGCCACCACACTCAGCTAATGTTTGTATCTTTTGCTATATTGCCCAGGATGGTCTCGAATTTCTGGGCTCAAGTGATCCTCCTGTCTCAGCCTCCTGAAGTGCTGGGATTACAGGCATGAGTCACCGTGCCCGAGGGATGGCTCATTTCTGTTCCCTGTGGTGTTGGCTGGGAAGGCTTGACTAGAGCCAGAGAATCCAAGATGGCCTCACTCAAATGTCTTGGACACCTCAATTCTCATTCATGTGGCCTTTTTTTCTTCCATGTGGTTTCTTATCATTCAGCAGTCTAACCATGTTTCTTGATATGGTGGCTGAATGAAGAGAATGAAAGCTACACGATTTCTTAAGGACTAGACCCTGATGTGTTATTTACAGTGCATTCTCTTGGTCAAAACAAGTCACAGGGCCAGCCCTGTTTTAAGGAGAAGGGAAACAGACTCTACTGCTCGATGAGATAAGTGGCAAAATCACATTGCAAAAGGGTATGAAGGATAGAAAGGATTGTTGGGGTGTATTTGGAAATGATCTGCCATATTTCTCTTTACTACCCCATTCCTATCTTCACCATGCTATCATCATCCAGGTTTATCTGATAATTGCCAAATTACGACGTGTCATAACATACTATGACTGCCCCACTGTCCAAAAAAAAAACACAAAGAGGATTAAATACTTCTCAGGCCCCTGTTCATCTTTATGGCCTCACTGTAGTCCTCTCAAAAGGTATCTTTTTTCTCTAAACTTTCTCAATGCAAATATCCACCCCCAATCATGGGTCAATGTCACTCCAAGATCCACTCTCCTCCTCCTCTAATATATCTTAGGATGCAAAACTAAGCAAGGTCTGAGTTAATCTATCTGGAATAGTACCATGGAGTCACAGCTATTGCCAAAGCCCTCAACAAAACAGGCTAGGCTGTATTTCAGAAACTTCAGTCTCTCCTTGCCATGGACTAGCCCACATGCAATTTGGAAGTGAGTCCTGGTAGTGACCGCTACAGATCCTGGCTTCTCTCTTGCCTTGTCCTCAACAGTTACTGCTACTAATTTAGTGCTGAAGAGATAAGAATGTCACTTAAACCACTGCTGCACATAAATCCACTTAGAATACTTTTTCCCTTAGAGAATCTAGTGTTGAAGTACAGGGTCTTGTTTATTTTACCATAGACACCATAGGACACCATATTCTTTAGGTTAGAACTAAGTACTTGAGAAATTATACAAATAATTACTTGTTGAACTTTATGTGTGAATTAACTCTATTTTACGGGCCAAAGATTGAACCTGAAATGATTAGCATTCATGTAACTTTGAACTATTCACATTTGAAGTTGGATCAGTGACAAAGTCTTATTCATTTTTCAAGTTTTAGTCCTAAGGGCTTTTAGTTCTAAGGGCTAAGTTCATTTCAAATTTTGGTTCTAAGTGTTGCTGCTAGATAATTTTTGCCTTTGTGTTGACTTGCAAAAGATTGATCCTCTGGGCTACTGTTGTCCCATATAGAGTTTAGTGCCCAGCCAACTCCTTAGTCCAGCATTCTACATGTTTAATCTTTTATGTTGACTTGTATCACTTCCAGTAGCCATTTGTTAGAACTACTAAATTAAATTTACATAACTTAAGGATCTAAAAAGACCAGTTCAGTAAGAGTCATTTTTGGAGAGATTTCTGCATTCATCGAAAGAGAATGAATTGTCCAAAGTTATCAAAAACAGATATTAAAGTTGAGTAGGTTTTGAAAATACTCAAGACTTTTTTTTAGTCCTATGACCTACATGAAATATATTATAATCCCTTAATTCTTCCAATCATAGTGCTGAAAGAAAAGTTGACTACCCAGAGGTAACTATGCACAAAGTGACAGAGCTCTTAGATCTACTCATTTGTTCATCCCTCTGTCCCAACTTCTTTCAGGTCTTTCACCTGAAGGATTAGTCATACTTCTGAATCCCTTTCCTGGGCTCCTTGGAAGAAATATTTTCACTTTGCTGAGGACCCTACTTTTGTTTGTTTTTTTATTGTTGTTGTCTTTTGTAAATTTTATTTTTTAAAAATGGGGGGGGGTTCTTACTACGTTGCCTAGGCTGGTCTTGAACTCCTGGCTTTAAGCGATGTTCCTAAAGTGCTGGGATGACAGGCGTGGTCCCTAATTTCTTGTCACGTGGTGAATGATTCCCTCCTTCTCTCCCCTCATGCTCCTTTTTACCCCCCACTCCTGGAGAATGACCAGGACAGGAAGAGGACCCCTCTACTAAAGAGAAGTAGCAACAGATAAAAGGCCAAATCTCACAAGGTGTCAACGTAAGAAAAAGACCCGCCATCCTTCGGCCAGCTCAGATCAAAAGCGAAACAACCTGTTTAGTCCTCTCTGTCAAGGATAGTCCTGCCTTCCATTTCTTCTTTTTGTCTCCCCTTTACCCTCCCTGCCGGCCTTATCACCGGGTAGCTGTCGTTGTCTTTCTCGGCTGCTTACTAATAAAGTTGTTACAAAGTGACCTTGAGCGTCTTCCCTGTCGCATCCAAAACCCCGCCTTCTCCATCCGGGTGCTGGGGAGCGCATAAGAGCCCGACTGCGCCTGCGCACCTAGCCCCACTCTTTCGACCTCTGCCGCCGTGTGTGCCGCCGATACCTCCCGGGAAGGTAAGCGGAGGGCGCGGGAGCCTGGCTTGCCTTGACCTGGCAGGGGCAGAGCAGCGCCCAGTAGGGACCCATTCATTATGTCTGAGCCCCACTGGGCGCGGGGCCCAGGCTGACGGGAGCTCGTGGGGCCTGGGTGGGAAGGACAGGCCCCTGGAGGGTGCTTGACCTTAAGCCTCTTTGCCTCCGCAGAGAGGAAGCGGGAGAGGAGCCCACGTCGCCTGTCACCCAAGTCCTCCAGCCGCACCGCCCCGAGGAGTGTAAGATGTTCGCCTGCGCCAAGCTCGCCTGCACCCCTGCTCTGGTGCGTAGCCCAGGCAGGGCTGGGAACTGAAGGCCGGGCCTCCGCGCCTGGAGCGTCCACGTTGTTGAATGGGGCAACCTTCGGACGGAGCACGCCGTTCCCTCGGGAGCAGCTCTCCCCTTAACCCCGTGCCCCTTTCTTCCCTTTCCTCCCAATCCTGGGGCATCTCAGCCCTCTCCTCCTCTCCACCAGGGAGGTGGAGAGCAACCGAGGCCTAGCTGTCAGGCCCCACTCGGTGTAGATCAAACGCTCCTTGCCCCTAACCCCGGAGCGGCCCCTTCCCCACCTCCTTGTTCTGTGTTGTATTGGGGTCGACCCAAAGGTTGGGGTACTGTGGGGGGCTGCTGAGGCCTAATTCACCGCGGCAGCGCTCTCTAATCTGTAGGTCAAACTCGGCGCTGCAGAGGGAGGGACTTTACCTCACCGTGTGGGGGCGGAAGGAGATGGTGGGGAGCCCAGTCTTTCTTCCTGCCTCTGGAGTTTTATTTCCATAACGATTTTGCAGGCTTTAAGTGAAATCTAAATCTGGGATTTGTGTTAAAAATCAGGTCTTGGTTCTGAAGGATTTACTGTGACCTTAGTTTTGTGGACACTCAAGGACAGGGAAGCTAGACCGGATTTGTCTTATGATCATAGTATTTCATTCACTATCCCTAAACTGATGTAAAATTGCTTAAGCTACTTAAAAAAAAAATTATGATTAGCGGTCACATTTATAGTGACACTGTTAATATACTTGTTGGTCCACTTAAACTTATCTAAGAATGTAGAGTTTATTGCTGTTTTTCTAACCAGAATTATGGCACTACAATAATTGAAATGTTAAAAGCAATTCTTCCTCGCTTTTAAAAGAACTTCTTAGATTTTTTATTCAGCAAATTACAAACAGATTATGTAGCAAGCTTTACAATTCATTAGCACGAAACTTTATTAAAGTTGCTTTATGTATTGAAAGTGACCAAAGGGCAAAGAATTAGTACAAAAAAATCTCTGATTCATTTTTGCTTCTTGTTTTTTAAGACTCATGGTAGAAGAAAGATCATTGAAATCTTGTCTGTATTCATACTTAATACTTGGAGTCTTTTTTTCATTAATAGATCCGAGTTGGATCCAGAGTTGCATACAGACCAATTTCTGCGTCAGTGTTAACTCGACCGGAGACTAGGACTGCAGAGGTAATAGTAGCAATAATAGAAATTAGATAACACTACCAAGTAAGTCTTAAGGTTTTAATCAGGATGAAGGGGGAAAAACCTCATTAATGAATAGTTAGAGGGCAATCCTTTTCCACCCCTTTATCCAAAAAATATGTAGAAGATGAGCCAGTGAGAGAAACTTTCTATCCAAAACATTATCCACCTGAATTGGTCAAAAAATACTACAGTCAGAATTATATTTAAGTCTAAGGCTTTGGATTGCCTATATTTAAGATAAGCTACAGTTATTGAAAAACGCTACTCTGTTGAAAAGTATATTTCTAGATCTTGTTTCTTAACTTTTAACACCTTTATAAGGCATAGATACTGTTATCCCTATTGAGCAAGATCAGAATTAAACTAAACTTTTGATTCTTCTATTGTGTCATACTACTGCCTGTTGACATTCAGCTACAAAATTGAGAAGTAGTTATCATTTTAATAGTATAGTAATTAAAATAATTGTGATTGCTGATTTGACCTTTGTGTTTATTTCCTATTCTCTAGGGCTCTACAGTATTTAATGGGGCCCAGAATGGTGTGTCTCAGCTAATCCAAAGGGAGTTTCAGACCAGTGCAATCAGCAGAGACATTGATACTGCTGCCAAATTTATTGGTGCAGGTGCTGCAACAGTAGGAGTGGCTGGTTCTGGTGCTGGTATTGGAACAGTCTTTGGCAGCCTTATCATTGGTTATGCCAGGTAATCATTTCTATCCTTGAATAAGTTAAAGAATGTGCTTGAAATAGTTGGAAATTTGGAAAACTACTCAAATGGTAATAGCTACTTTGAATTAAGTGCCTACTCTGTGTCTTGTATTATATTTAAAGGGCTTTGTATGCATTATCTCACTTAATCTTTGTAACTCCCCTTGAGGTTATACTTTACCTATGAAGGACCAGAGGCACAGAGGTTACCTTACTTGCCCAGGTCATAGCTGGTAAATGTCAGAAGATTAATTTTAACTCAGTCTGACTTAAGAATCTGCATCCCTAATTGGGTAAGCTATATTGGGAATATAATTAATAGGGCACATTCTTTAAAAGTATCCATTATATTTTATGATTTAAGACCTTATTTCTAAACTGTCAGATCTTGTAAGGTATAGAACATACTTAAAATGTATAGAACAAGAAGGATGTAAGAACTCTTCAACATGAATGAAAACTAACCATTTATATTGGCATACAGAGACAGCTCCCTACCTTTATGCTGTATGACTAGGATTGGGAGGAAAGGGATGTCAAGATAGATGGAAAAGACACATAGGCAAATACTCTTCTAGTAGATTTTTTAGTTTACAAAGATCCCCACACTAGCAATACAACTCTTTAACATTTACCAAACATGTTAAAACTCATATTTCCAAGTAATAGTCATTTGTGGTCTCTTTTAGAAACCCTTCGCTGAAGCAGCAGCTGTTCTCATATGCTATCCTGGGATTTGCTTTGTCTGAAGCCATGGGTCTTTTTTGTTTGATGGTTGCTTTCTTGATTTTGTTTGCCATGTAACAAATTACTCCTTGAAATGTTGGCATTCATATTAAGTACGGATGTAATTCTGTGTATCTTACTGTGACTCCGAAAACTGTAGTGTTGGTGTCATGGAAATGTACGTTATTTCCAAAGTCATTTCATTAAAGATGAAAACTTTAATTTTTGCTGTGATTTGTACTTATACTAAATTTAGATAATCACAAGGAAGAACATGCATTCAGGCAGATGCTGTTCAATTCAGAGGAAGCTATAGCAGTGGCCCCACTGATGGCAAATATCCCAATGTATTTTTTATGGGAATTATTTTATATAGTGTTCTGCACATTGTAATTCATAGGACTTCTGTTTATTCATATAAAGGTGTACTGTTTGAGTGTTTTAAGCTTCTATGAAATATGATTAATTAACAAAGATAGTTAATGCTCAAGATGGTTTTGTGTTTTTTAGATCTAGCATGAATTAGAATACTTGGATGCAGAATCACTTTTCAGGACTGACTTGGTTGTTCTTAAGCAGCTGGTGGTGTTCTTAAGCAGCTGGTTCTAAAAATAAATAATGTAGCCCTTTAGGAAGTGAAGCCTTAAACTGGGAACTAATGTGATTTTTTTTGTTTGTTTTTCAGTAAGTCTCACATTAAATAATTGTGTTTATATAATGAATCTTATATGTCTTCTCAGAAGGGACTCAATCTAACTAGCAGCTACTTTCTTACTTGAAGAAGATTCTATTAAAAACCAAATATCAAAAAGTAAACTGAATTGGCTACATTTTTAAAGCCAAAATTTGTTAAAGTTCTTATCACTGCTGCTGATATATTTAATTATAATGGGAATCTTGGGAATGATAGGTGGTTTAACAGTGTTTTGCTTCTGATACTTCATGTTGCTTCTTGGTCACACTTTTCCCATTAAAAGGAAAAAAGTGGTGCTACTATAGAAAGAGTGAGTTTTTCACCCTAACAAATACATTGTATTATTATTTGTCTTCTAAGTTTCAGAACTTATTTGAAGGTTCAGATGACAATTAGGGAAGATACTTCTTTGGTGTCCTTTACCTAATTTGATTTCACCTGAGAAAGCAGTCAGTTACCAGAGTTTCTTAAGTGTCGTAGGAAGACTACCTCCATCAGAATCACCTCAGATGCTTGTTTATTTTAAAAACAAATCCTTCAGCTCTGGACCTACTGAATTAGACTCTTTGGCCATGAGACTTAGTAATCTGCATTTTTTAAAAGGCTTCCTGGGCAATTTTTGTGCATAGTTTTGATGCCTTCTATAAAGTGAAACAAGAGCTGAGTTGCTACAACTTTTTAGTTGACGAGTCATCTAATCTATATTAAATATGAAATTCCTAGAGCCTAAACTATTTTCTTGAGCAGCATTACTCAATATTTAGACTCAGCAATGTATACAGAAAGCACTACTGTGTAACCCAGCTCTTCCATGCTTGATTTTCTGCTTGAAATGTGGGCATTCATGTTAATTACCCAAAAGAATTGAAAATAGGTATTCACACAAAAACCTATAAACAAATACTAATAGCACTATATATAATAACCAAAAGATGGAAACAACCAAATGTTCGTGAACTGATGAATGGATAAGCAAAACGTGTTATGTCCACATAATGGAATATTCAACCATAAAAAGGAGTGAGGTGCTGATATATGCTAAATAAACATGGGTGAACCTTGAAAGCATGCTTAATGAAAGAAGCCAGACACAAAAGGCCACATACTGTATGCTTCTATTTATGTGAAATATCCAAAATGGGCAAATCCATAGCAACAAAGCCAATTAGTGGTTATCAGGGACTAGGGAAAGGGGAGATGGGTGTGGGGTCTCCTTTTGGGGTTATAAAAATGTGATGAGTTAGATCGTGGTGGTGTTTGCACAGCATTGTAAATATACGAAATGTCCCTGAATTGTATACTTTAAGATGGTGTAAATGGCAAAGTTCACATGTATTTTACTATAATTAAGGAAGTACTATACTATGTAATACAAAGTACATATTATAAAAACATTTTTAAAATCATAGAGAAACATTTAGAATAACTAGTACTCTGTTCCAAGTGTATTTTAAATAAAATCAGTCTTCCTAAAGACCTATTCTTGGTGCTGGTTTGGTGGTTGAAAAAGCCTGAAACATTGATTCTAGAATTAGGTATCTTGTAAAAGATGCTCCAGCTGAGGGAATCTCCTGAGAATGAAAATACCTGAGCTGTAGCTGCACAGTCTTCAGATTACTGAGCAAAAAAAAAAAAAAAAGCCTTCAGAAAAAACAATAACTCAAAAGTTTCACTATGGACTATTTTACATAAAATGGGAAAGGAAATACTACATCAAGAGTTCAACATCCTGGAAAATATACTTACTATTTTACTTTTATTCTAATAACAAAATTCTGACGTTGAAAGTACATCACTGCAATGCATCTACTCTGTTAGCACCATTTTTATAAGGAAGTATTACTTGCCTTAGTTTTTGATTAATGCTTGCAAGTAAATATTCATGATTAATGCTTTTTACTAACATCTTAGTTTCTTAAGAGAGGCTGAAGATGTTTTTTCCCATCAAATGTGAAATGTATTTTCCATATTGATAAGAGCTGGTCTATTTAAAAACTCTAGTGGGTAAGAGCACCCTAGAGTGGTAGAGTGCAAATTTTACTATTTATTGCTGTTATATGCTGTTTCTAAAGGCTTTTCAGGTATACTTTTTATTTGGTAATATGTTATTTCCTTAATGCAAAACTGATATTTTAATGCTTTTGGGATTATCTCAAAATATAGAAGTATGAAATCTGTCTTTAAACTAAAGAGAAAATTATCTTCTAGTCACAAACACTAGAAATATATGCAAACAAAATTCGGAGTAAAATGGTGACTTTCACAAGAGTGGCAATAAGTGCTAAGATGTTCAAAGGGAGTAGACATAATTTTCCAGCAAAGGAATCATATGAAAAAGTGCTAAAAGTGTTAAAGTCTATACTTTAACATAACCTTAAAGAACTGATATAATAAGGACAGCCAGAAGAAAAGGGTGTCTTGGCACTAGAACAGCATGAGGGAAGGGAAAATCAAAGCAAAGCACTGGTATATGAGAAACAAGGAGTTGTCTGAGTATAAGAGGGAAATGGTCTAAGATAAGGCTGCAAAGATAGACTGAGGCCAAACTGGCAGATGGAAGAGTATAGGCCAGGCGTTGTGGCTCATGCTTGTAATCCAAGGACTTTGGGAGGCCCAAAGCGGGAGAATTTGTTGAGCCCAGACCAGCCTAGGCAACATAGCAACATAGCAAGACCTCATCTAAAAAAAAAAAGTGTGGGTTTTACTTTTGTTACTGTAGGCAGCCCTTGAAAGTTTTAGAGCTATGTTTTAGAAAGTCTAATGTAAGACAAGTGTGGGATGAACTGGAACCTGCAATGAACAGCGTTTACTATTAGTAGCTTTGCTGAGAGGTAATAAGGGCCTAGTCTGGGACAGTGGCAGTGTATACACTTGACCCTTAGAAAATAGGTTTGAACTGTGTAGATCCACTTATACACAGATTTTTTTCAATAAATGTGTTAGAAGATTTGGAGATTTGCAACAATTTGGAAAAACTATCAGAAATAACAAATTAAGAAAAATTTGTCATAAGTGCATAAAACAACAGCTACTACTCTATCATTTACTACCATAAAATATACACAAATCTATAAAAGTTTAGGACTTTTGTAGACTTTGTCTACAAAAATTTTTTAAATTTATCAAAGCTTATTCACACAGACTACATAGCACCATTCTCAGTCAAGAGAAATAAACATGCTGTATATCATAACTGCATAAAATTAGTACATACTGTACTACTGTAATAATTTTTTAGCTACCACTATTTGCTACTGTGGTTAGCTCAGGTGTTGCAAGTATCTGCTTTTTGCATTTGTGACACTAATCTTTGTGTAGGCCATTTGTCTCTCCAGTAAACTGTGTGTCAAAGGACTATATTTAGTGCAGTGTTGTAAACCTTGAATAACACGGTGGTTTCCATACAAAGTGCCACTAGTGATGCTGCAAGTGGTCATAAGAAGCAAAGAAAAGTCATTACAAGAAAAAGTTGAATGGCTTGATACATACTGTAGGTAGAAGTCTGCAGCTCCAGTTGAGCCACCATTTCAGAAGATTCATCTTGTAAACAGATGTCAACTTACAGTATCAATAAATACGGTACAGTACTGTAAATGTATTTTCCTTATGATTTTCTTAAGATTTTCTTTTCTCTAGGTTACTTTATTGTAAGAATACAGTATGCAATATGCATGTAACATACAAAATGTGTTTATTGACTTTATGTATTAATCAGTAAGGCTGATGTATTAATCAGCAGTAAGCTATTAAGTTTTGTGGGAGTCAAAAGCTGTATATGAATTTTTAACTGCACAGGAGTTTCCATGTTCCTAACCCCTCATTATTCAGGGTTCAACTGTATTTTACAAAGAATCTGCAAAAGTAGTATCAGTAAGATGTAATTCCTAGATCTCAGGAACCAGTTAGGAGAGAAGAGGATGTGTACATCTAATAAGTGTTTCTGCCTATGCTAGAGGCTTTTTATATGCTGTCATTTAACCCTCATGACAATGCTGTAAAATTGAGAATTTCCAAGATGCAAAGAAAAATTGACTCAGAGGGGTTAAACAATCCCCAAAATCACATAGCCATAAATTGGCAAAATCAGGGTCCAAATTGAGGTTTTTCTTAATTCACAGCCCATACTTTGATTTTTTGGTGTGACTATTTTAAGGATGACGAGAAAGCTGATTTGGGGGAAATGATGCATCTTGGCTTTTTATATCACTTTAAATACAAAATTTTACATATAAACTTGTGGACTTTAAAAGAGAGAAGGTGTGTACAAGAATGAAGTAGATGTGAATAAAAGAAGGGTAGAGCAGCAGTAAGGATCCAACTCCAGGTAGATAACGAATTTGTAGTGAACATCATGAACCTAATTTTGTGACTCTCCAGCAATGTTGGGAAGCTTGTTAACATAAACTGATGTAAAGAGCAGTGAGCATTATCAGGCTGGGGACTCTAGGCAGATAGCAAACAAGCATGTTGTTTAACAGTATGACCTATGAACTTCAAACAGGGTAAGGAACCAGTGAAGACACAATAAGGATGATAAATTGAAATAAAAGAGGAGGGGTCAAGAGCCCAGAGGTTTCGGTAATGTTGAAGATTCATTTCAGTAAGAGCCAAAAATACACATGAAATTAAAAGAATTTCAGAGTTGAAGATATTGAAGATTGGTAGGTTCAAAGAATGATCAATGTTTATGGTCAAGTTGCTGGGTAGAAATAAATGTTATTGCAGTTAATTTTAAGGAAGGATTGTAGACATATGGGAAATAACATTTGAGAAAGAAACTATACTCATGCTTCTGCTGTAAATCTCATGTTCTCTTAGGTAAGTTTAGCCAATATGGATTGGTTTGGGTGTTAGGCATATTAATTTACTTGTTTCATGGTGTTATTCTACTGATATGTTATGGACTCAGCTAAGCACAGTGGCTCATGCCTGTAATCTTAGCACTTAGGCTTAGGTGGGAGGATTGCTTGAAGTCTAGGAGTTCTTGCCCAATTCTTTACATTATTAAGGGCAAGTAACTTCATCTTTTTTTCTATTAAACTTTTTTCAGATCAAATGCCATCCTCCCCTGGCTCAACAAACATGGCAATTTGATTCTGTCTCTGGCAACAGCAACATGCCTTGGGTTGATTTGAACAGATAGTTAATAAATAATAGCCAAAACTTATAATATAGGATTTACCCCCCAAAAAGCACAGCATGAATTTATGCTCCTATGTTTCCTCCACCATCCCTAGCCTGCCAACACTTCCACCCCCATACGCACAGTTTATTTGCACACACTCCTATAAGACTTCCTGATGGTATGTATAACTTAATGTATTAGAGTTTGGCACTCAAAGTGAGGTCCGTGGATGAGCAACACTGACATCACCTGGGAACTTCTGGCCGCCTCGCCTTACATCTGCTGAATCAATATGCATTTTAACACAGATCTCATGATTTGTATACATTTTAAACTTTGAGAAGCACTATAATAGAATATGACAATTTCTAGCAAGCCATGACCAGACTTCTTTTAAAAAGCTGTCAACTTGTTTATTGAGAGAATTTCTTTCCCCTTACATTAAAATGTACTGTCAACCCAGTGATTCTCAAAATGTGATCTGATAAGTTCTGGGAGGAAGCGACACTTTCAGAGGACTTGGGAAGTCCACCCTCTTCCAATACGTAGCTGAGTGAGGCTATGTGTTTATTATGTACTTTAAAATATATCACAACAGATCAAATGCAGAAGCAGATACAAAAATACAGCTGTCTTCTATTAAGAAACATTACACCGACCACACAGTGGCTCATACTTGTAATCCCAGCACTTTGGGAGGTGTAGGTGAGAGGATTGCCTGAGCACAGGGTTCAAGATCAGCCTGGGCAATTTGGCAAGACTTCGTCTCTAGAATAAATTTAAAAACTAGCTGGGGGTGGTGGAATATGCCTGTAGTTCCAGCTACTTGGAAGGCTGAGGCAGAAGAAACACAGCCCATCAGGCCGAGGCTGTGGTGCTGTGACCAGTAGGATTGGTTTGTGTATTAGGTGTTTGAGAGATGAAAGGTTCGTATTGTTATGATACAGCTTGGGTGACAGAGTGAGACTCCAACTCAAAAAAAAAGCAACACTGCAGGCCGGGTATGGTGGTGGCTCACACCTGTAATCCCAGCACTTTGGGAAGCTGAGGTGGGAGGACTGCTTGAGCCTGGGAGTTTGAGACCAGCCTAGGCAACATAGCAAGATCTTGTCTTTATTTAAAAAAAAAAAAAGGCAGGTATGGTGGTGTGCATCTGTAGTCTCAACTGCTTGGGAGGCTGAACAGGAGGACTGCCTGAATCCAGGAGGTGGAGGCTACAGTGAGCTGTAATCGTGCCCCTGTACTCCAGCCTGAGTGACAGCGTGAGAACTTGAGTCAAAAAAAAAAAAAAAAAAAGTGTGACAGCAATTTATAAAAATTAAAACAATGCCATTCTATTTTGGCATTGTTT